CTTAGACTTACTCATACTCAGACCTACTCATACTCAGACTTACTCACACTCAGACGTACTCATACACAGACTTACTCATACACAGACTTACTCACACCCAGACGTACTCATACACAGACTCACTCATACCCAGACTTACTCATACACAGTATTAGCCATAATCAGACTTACTCATACCCAGACGTACACATACACAGACTTTCTCACACACAGACCTACTCATACCCAGACTTACTCATACACAGACTTACTCATACACAGACTTACTCATACTCAGGCATACTCATTTTCAGCACCCCTTAGGGGAGCCGCCAGGGGTGTTTGCACGGGCTCGTTCGCGGCCATTTTGTGGGGATGTCTCAGGCGGTTTGCTTGTTCCCCATATCCTAAGATGGGGTTATTGTTATTACTTGGACGCCTCCTACTCCCTCTCCTTCTCCCTCCTCCTCTTTCCTCCTCCCCTCCTGTCGGACTTACTCATACTCAGACTTGCTCATACTCAGACTTACTCATACACAGACTTACTCATACTCAGACTTACTCATACTCAGACCTACTCATACTCAGACTTACTCACACTCAGACATACTCATACACAGACTTACTCATACACAGACTTACTCACACCCAGACGTACTCATACACAGACTCACTCATACCCAGACTTACTCATACACAGTATTAGTCATACTCAGACTTACTCATACCCAGACGTACACATACACAGACTTTCTCATACACAGACCTACTCATACCCAGACTTACTCATACACAGACTTACTCATACACAGACTTACTCATACTCAGGCATACTCATACTCAGACCTACTCATACTCAGACTTACTCAACACACATCAGATTTGGAGGATGTCTCAAGCGGGGCGCTGGTTTCAGCACCCCTAAGGGGGCCGCCAGGGGTGTTTGCACGGGCTCGTTCGCGGCCATTTTGTGGGGATGTCTCAGGCGGTTTGCCTGTTTCTGGGCCCAACATCCTTCGCTTGGAGAGCAGATTGTGAGGATGTCTCAGGCGGGGCGCTGGTTTCAGCACCCCTAAGGGGAGCCGCCAGGGGTGGTTGCACGGGCTCGTTCGCGGTCCGTTTGTGGGGATGTCTCAGGCGGTTTGCTCGTTTTCATGCCCAACATCGCCGGCGGGGCTGCGCCTCCAAAAGTGGTGAAACGCGCCCTGGGGAACCAGGGTTGAGGAGGAAGAGGGGGAGGAAGAGGAGAAGGAGGAGGAGGAGGAGGAGGAGGAGGACTGGGGGAGGAAGCAAGGGGATCAGGACAATGAGGTGAAGGATGACGACAAGGATGAGGAGGATGATGTCTAAGAGATTGAGGACGAGGAGGAGGAAGGCGTGAGCGAGGGAAATGACAGGAACGAGGATGAGGAGGAGGAACAGGAGGAGGAGGAGGAGGAGGCGGGGGATCGTGAGGAGGGGCATGGGGGTGCGGAGGGGGAGGACCCCCTCCCACTCGAAATCTACCGCTCGGCCCTGTCGCCCACGTGGACGCGCTATTGTAGTCGACCGCTCATGAACAGACGCTCACCACGGCATGACATAAAACATGAGATGCACATATGGGGAGCTCCACGCAGTGAGTAATTGTTGTTATCTTTCTCTCTCTCTCTCTCGCCATCTGTTTCGACCGCCGTCAGTATGCATGACAAGTCGAAGCCTACGTATTTGGTGCCTAGCGATCCCTGCCCGAACCTTCTGCGTTTCCCCCCCGTATTGATGCGATGCATGCAATCATGCGCCAGCGGAAACGGACGGAGCAAATGGTAGCGGAAAACAGGGCCGAATGTATTCTGCTTTGCTGTCTGCCACTGTGACGTTATATTACATTATGTTAAGTTCGACTGTGTGATATTATACTATATCAAGTTATGTCGGTACCAAACGTATTCGTTGAACGTGGTGTAGTTTTGTATGCTTCGTCATAAATTGGACACTCCCGTATCATGTAGCTTGTTTAGGTTACAATTCGTTGTCTCCTATTTTTATATAACGGTTTGCTATGTTATATCATCGTCTGGCATGTTCCACGTTCAAGTGTTCGGTCATTCCACGCTATGTCATGTGATGCCAATTTTTCCGATAGTGCAGTTGTTCTACTATGGCATGTAATGTGGTGTTCGCACTGGCCCACACTACATTTGTATACATATATATATATATATATATACACATAATGTTACGGTATGCCCTGCTATGGCCTGCTATGTCCCCTTTGCGCGTTGTTATTTTGCCTCTGGAATAATCCGATATGTGCACTGTTATCTCCAATTCGGCCCTGTTCTCTTCTGTACTGTGCCATCACATCAAGCTGCATTGTGATATGTATTGTGCTGTACTGATTTCTTCCATTGATCGATACTCTATCGCGTTACGATCTAAACCGTTTTCCGCTATAACCTGAAATGCCATGGCTTGCTATGTCATGATATGCGATGTCGCCGTCTCTTCTAATACCGGAGGTGAATAAGAGCGAGGTCGCAATGAAACGGAGAGTCCCCCCTCCGGGAATCGGTGTCGGTTTCGTGTTCGTGTCGTGCGTGCGAGGCGAAGCTGCGAGGGCGGGCGAAAAGCAGGAACCCGTCTCTGGCTAGGGCGCCGCCGGGGCAGAAGCCCGCCCCCAAAATTGGCGGGGGGGTGCCGCGGGTGTCCCGCCGTGGTGTCCCGTGGTTTTCCGCGGTGGATTGTGGTGTCCCTTGGCGCGGTGCCATGTGATGTACCGTGGTGTCCCGTGAAGTCGATACTGGGATCGATAGTGATATCGACCGTGCAATCGATAGTGTGCTCGACCATGATATCGATGATGTGATCGACCGTGAGACTGTAGTGACATCGAACATGCGGTAGGTGGTGAACTCGAGAATGGGATCGACTCTTAGATCGATAGTGAACGGGATAGTGAGATCAATTGTAGGATCGATTGTGAGACTGATAGTGGTATCGATAGAAGGATCGGTCAGAAGATCGATCGTGGGATCGATCGTGGGATCGATTGTAAGATCGAAGGTGAGGTCAATTGCGGAATCAATCGTGAGTTCGATGATGGGGTTGATGGTGGAATCAGCAATGATATCGAGAAAAAGGTCAATTGTGAGATCGATTGTGAGATCGATAATGAGCGGGGTCGTGAGATCGATCGTGAAATCGGTCATGTGGTTGATTGTGAGATCGATAATGTGATCGATCGAATGAGACCGATCGTGATATCGATAATGAGATCGATTCAATGAGACGTTCGCTCCTCCCCCCCTCCCGGGACCTCCTTGTCACCCGAAGGGTGGTCATATAGGTATTCCGCTGTATCGTGTCACGTTCCGGTCTCGTTTCCTCAATACCACTATGTTCCGTCAAATTTTGATGTGTCATATTCTGTAAGAGTGAACCGTGATTCTGGAACGACATCGCCATGACGTCGCGGCGCCTGGACGGCGCGCCGCCGTGACGTCGTGCGTTCCGACGAAGACGCGACGCGAGCCACCCCAGGAACCAACCGTAGTCTTCTGGATTTGGCGGCTGAAATATGCAGGGCGGGTGAGGCGGGTCGGGGGGCGGGACCAGAACGTCAGATTATAGCACTCTGTGTCTTCTATCGACTCGTGCTGCATTCTGTTGTGTTCGGTGAAGTAGTAGCAGTAGTCATGCTTTTACCCTCTGTTATGCCATCCTCTGTTATGATGTGCTCTGTCATATTGTGTGTTGGTATGTTCTGTTCTGATCTGTGCTGTGGCGCTTTGTTCTGTCATGTTCGGTTCTGTTATGCTCTGTCAGGCGTGGGGGGCGGGATCATTGGGGACCACCAGTGGACCTGAGGATCTAGCAACCACGGTATGGAGGCGCGGGGGGAGAGATCATCGGGGACCACCGGTGGGCCTGGGGATCTGGCGGCCGCAATGTGAAGGCCCGGAGGCGGGATCATCGGGGGCCACTGTTGGACCTGGGGATCTGGCAGCCGCGGTATGCAGGGTGGGCGGATCAGGAGGGCTGTTCTTGAAGACGAACAGCTCCAATCTGTAGGGCACAGTAGGGCTTAGACGCGGTTGCTGGCATCGGCAAGCTGAGAATATGTGTGAGCCGCTTCGCCTGGAGGTCCTCATACTTGTGTGCGCCCGAGGGCCCCTCACGCATATGGCGACATTACGGTCCAAAAACCACTTTTTGTGTTGCCAGAACTGTGTTCGATATTATAGAGCGCATGGATCAGCACTTCTTGGAACCGGCTCAAGGAAATATAAACCATTGATCAACGGTGTCAACTTAGTTGTTCAGCATGTCTGTTTGATGCAGTCAAGCATGTGTGTTCATATGCTGTTCGCCTACCTGCTCTAAACCACTATGCGTGGCCCCATATCGCATACGCATGTGAGTCCTCAACGCAACTCCTTAACATCTTCACTAGCACCTTGATGTACCGGAGTGCGTGTCTACCACAACCGCTTAACACATTCACACATGTATTGGTCTCTGAGTGATGATGTACGCGACGTGTCGATTGTGCCATCGTTCGAACGTGACCCCAACGCTCTTGCTGAATTTCATCAGCCTGCTCGATGTGTGAGAGCCTGGGCACGCGCATGCTACTTGTATGTGTATCCCTGCCTCAATCTTTCTCTCTGCACCCCGTTGTCTTCCTAACTCATTCCCTCGTTCGGGGGTGGACAGAACCCCCTGTAGCAAAACGCTCTTTAGTGAAAGCTGCCAAGGGCACTCCACGTGCGCACGGCACTGCATTCCGAGTGCACCCCAGAGGGGTAGCTAATCGATGTTTCAAAACACCCGAATGTATCTGGCGAAACGTACGTCGATTAGTGAAACCGACTGAGGACTGCACCCGTTCACTCGAATTCCAGTGTCGGGTGACCCCGTGCAAAATTCCTCAATCGCCTTGTCTGGGGGGGCGATCTGCCAATGCCCGACTCTTCTTCCTCAAAGCAGTCCGTGTCGCCATTGCACGACTCATTTCCTCAAACACCCGTCCCCGCTGCTTCCTGCATCTGATCGGGCCGCGCGTCCACCTCCCCGCCGGAGGTTGCGCGCAGCAGCAGCGACACCGAGACGACGCCTGCGCTTCACGGGAGGACGGGGGGCGCATGGGTAGCTCAGATGATTACGTGATAATCGAACCATCACAAAAACATTACTGCCTATGTTGGTTTTACTTTGACAGCTATCTGTCGCTAGATCGTTTAATTGCGGGCCACGTCTACATCGCAGTGGGGGGAGGGCTGGGAAGGGGCCTGCGTCTCCTTGATAAAAGCATTGCCCCGATTTGTGGCCGCCGTGATTGCAGCGGCGACCTCCAAAACCAACCCAAAGATTTGGCCCGGCGCCAGATATCACGCGACGATCAAGGCGCCCCCTCAGTCACGCGCGCGTCGTGACAAAATCACGACGCGGCAAATCTCTGCCAGTTTTCGGCCTCTGGGGGCCCTCGCCGGCCACGAGGAACGTGAAAAACAATTCTGGATGAAAAACCAGCCCCAGGGAGAGGGTCGGGACTTGCGGGGGCCCAGTATTGACCAAAAACCAGACATTGCATGTCTGGGGAGGAGGATGGCGGAAGAAGGAGTCGGAGGGTCTGGCATGGGCAATCCCGCTGGGGCCCGAGCGGTGGGTGACGGGCTATCTCGTGCCCGCGGCGAAAGAGGCGGCCGCAGCCCTTGCTGCCGCCTCCCGTGCCTCGGCTGCCTCCGCTCTCGCCGAAGCAGCGCTCATTCTAGTCACGCTCAGCCGCAGCAGCTGTCGACCAACGGGCACGCTGATCACATGAATCTACCAACAAGAGCTCTGAGAAGCCCTCCTGCATCCACTCCGATACTGCGCGGCGGTGGCGGGGCTTGCAGCAAACGGGCATGTTCAAACACTCTTGGCTTTTGCCCTGCATGAGCTGATGGCCCAAATTGTTCGGTGCGCGTAGCGGTCACACCCGCAGCGTCGTGCAACCGGGGACCACGCTGGACAGCTCAAACTGACCCATACATGCGACCTTTATGTCCAATGATGCTCCATGGTATCCTATCTGGCGCCGGTATGGAGTCCAATGGGTGCCAGCACGGTGCATGTCTCTCAGACACCCAATGGCGCAGACCTGATCCCTTTGTGAACGCACTCCGCATGTTCCATGGCGCCTAGAACATACCCACGCGGCTTACCATGCGGGTTTCCTGAGCGCTTGGTCGCAATGGAAGCGAACTCGGGCTCAACGTTCAAACGTATGCGCGCTGGATATCAGAAGTAGGGGTGGAAAGGTGCGCGGATGACCTCCAAACAATGCGTGAGTGGTATCACCAGATCGGCCCTGCACCGAAGACAATTCAACACGAAACGCATCCAGCCCTTCAACCCCTCTTCTCTGCAAATGCAGCATCCGTGCTTGCTCGGGCCTCGCTGCTCGCCGTGGCTCCCGAGCAGCTGCAACGTCGCGGCTGTGCCTGTAGCGGGAGCAGGGCTGATACTCCCAACAGCCCTATGGGCCCAGCTGGTTTAGACCTCTTCCAATTTGTAAGCTCATTGTTCCCCTGAGGGGGTCCTCCTCCCCCTCTCGCACGTTGCAGTACTCTCCCTTTGCCTGCGGACTTGGTATGGCTCGCAATCTGGCGCGTCGGCAGCCCCTGGCCAACCGCGGAGAGAAGCACGAGGCACAGATGACATTCATTTGTGGGCGGGGTCTCGGATGTCAAGTACAGGTGGCCCTGTTGGTCTTCTCTGGATTTGGGGCTCTCTTGGGGCCTTCTTGTTGCGCTTGCGGGGCTTAATGCGGGCACACGGGCCCGTCTGGGGCTTTTCCTGGGCATCCATTGGGGGCTACACTGCGGCCTTTTATGGCTGATCGGAAGCCAGAGACCGATACTGCCCAAACAAATGAGCTACATGTGTGTTTGGGGTGTTTTTGGGCATCTCGGGACTATCCTGGGATGTCCCGTGGCCACCTCTGGTCGTCTTGTAGCGGCATGGAGGTATATTGGAGATCCAGTGGGGGCCGCCTTGGACCATAGTGGGCTGTCTCTGTGGCTATCTTGGAAACCGCCTCGCCCTGTCCTGCCTTGCGGAGGGACTGACTTGTTCAGTCAAGGGAAATCCCTCTCTTGGGTCGGGACGAGGGGGTCAGGCGGGGTTAGAGCGACCACTATGGCCCACGATGGCTCCTGAATGGCATTAGAGAGCTCAATATTGCCTCAAGGATGGCACACTAAAGCCCAATATGGCTAAACCAATATTCCACCATGCTTCCAGTACGCCACAAGACCACACCCTGTGACCCTAGGCCGACCCCACGATATTTCCCAGACGGTTCTCGCACTGCTGGCTGTCGGGCGCCTCAATGTGAGCACGTCCAGCGCTCCCAGAAAGCCCTTTGAGAGCCCCAGCGGAGCACTCCAGAGCTTCCCACATAGGGCCATATGCCAATGTGAGCTCCAGAAGGACGGCAGGTATTCAAGCCGCCTCCTTTTGTGTGGCCATGGCCCCCCAGATGGCTCCAAGAGAGCCCCGACCCCCCCAAAGGGCCACAAGAGACCCTCAAGAGGGCTCCGAGGATCTTAACATTACCACAACCAGGCTCTAATTAATTTCGTCATCGTCGTCGTTTTCCTCCCCTATCCTCCTCCTCCACCTCTTCCTCCCTCTCGGCCTTTCCAAACACAAGCAGCACGCGGGCGCCACTCCACGCTAGATGGGCTGCACTGCTCTCCTCGCTGACACCCCCCCTGTCTCGAAGTCGGGGCACGGCACTGCAGAAACTGCTGAAATCACGAGTTCGGGAGTGCTTCTGGACAATCTCTTCGAGATTGCAGCACAATGGCGTGGAAGCTTCCTATGCAGAGCTACTTGCCTGGACGCGCCAGTAGATCGCGGATCCACCGAAACACTTTGCCTGCTGAACATCCAGCAGCCCTGACGTGTGACCCCTTCCTCTCCAAGTGACCCCAACCCCGCAGACTTCGCGCCTTCTCCGTCCGCTGCTGCCAGCTCAGTGGGCACTTGAGCCTCCGAGGGAGGCTGCGGGAGTGGCGTGCAAAACAATGCTGGTTGATTGCAACCGCCTCCCAGACATCTGCCTCTCGATGCTCCTACCCGCCTCGTTTCCAGGGAGCAACAAGCGGAACGGAACGCAACAGATGGCGAATCACGCGCACGCAACCCATCACACTTCGTTACCTGTTCCAGCATTTACATGGAATCTAACACATCCACAGGCACCGCTCCTGCTCACTGGCAGCAACTGTACCACTGTTCAGCCTCCATGGCCTGAGAGATGTGAGGCATGCAAGCAGGCCTGTTTGTTACTCCGAAGCACTGCCAGAGTCTGAGGTACCGGAGGCATCCAACCTATCCGCCGACCACCGCTCGCTGGGGGTTTTGAAGGCGTGCGAGATGACTGGCTCTCCCACGCCCACTGGCCCTCCTCACCGGAGGTCCAAAATCCCGCTTGAGGCGGAGGCCGCGCCGCGTGAGCTCATCAAGGTCCGTTGGAGAACCCAGCGCCCAGCGCATCCAAAATCCAGCTTCCGGTGCTCCCCACAATGCCTCCAAGACAGCCCAAGAAGGGCTCCAACACGACCAAAAGGCTTCAAGAAGAATCCCAAGGTCCAGACAGCCCCAAGCAAGCCCAAAGAGGTCTCAAGAGGGAGCCCACACACCCTAACGCATGCCAGAACTCTTATGTCTCCAGTGTGACTGCATACTTTCATACGCATCCAGGAGGCATCTAGAAAGTCCCCATGCAGCCCAAGATACACCCAAGATGGCCCCTCAGAGGCTCCCCGCTGGTCTACAAGACAGCCACATAATGGTTCCTAGACGGCCCAAGACCGCCCAAAGACCCCCACACACACTCATGGCCCCGAGATGCCCCAAAAGAGACCCCAATTCACCGTGCATGGGCCCAGGGTGAAACAAGACAGGTCCCAGCGTTCGGTCGCACATGCGTCCAAGGGCATACACCCCAACACCCATCAATTGGGATATTTACGGGGCTATGCCAGCCTGGCAAACTACTCGGCGCGAAGACCCCCATACGTGTACAAGTTTTGGAGCGCCCTCTTTTCATAGCGTCTGAATAGAAGTGGGTTTGAATGCGAGCGAATAAAACAACCAGTGGCTCAGAAAAGAAGTGGGCCTGCGTACGAACGCCTGGACGTGACTGGGCGCGAGTGATCCTGTTTCTATGGCTGAGTGTGAGCGACTTTGCGTATGAGTGGGCTTGGATGTGACTGGACCGAACTAGGAGGACGTCTGAGAGAGCGACTCCTTCGTACGCTGCGCTGGTGCATCGTGCAAAGAAAACGTTTTCACTCCCCGGGCCCGCGCCCCCTAACCCCTATCCCCCCTCACGAAAATCTGGTGGGGCAGGCAAACGACGGCGACGACGACATCGCAGTCGTCGTCGTGGGCGGGTCGGTCGGTCGGGCGGACGGAACACGTCGTCGTCGTCGTCGTCGTCGTCGTCGTTCGCCGTCGCCAGCGCAGTCGCAATCGCCGTTGTCGTCGTCGTGGGCGAGTCGGGCGGGCGGAACACGTCGTCGTCGCCGTCGATGTGGTCGTCGTCCTCGTCGTCGTCGTCGTCGTCATCGTCATCGTCGTCCTCCACCTCCTCATTGTCGTCGTCGTTTGCCAGCGCTGGGGTTGGGGGGCGGTCGACCCCCCCCCCTCGACTTTTACTTTCGAAGGTGGGCGAGAGGGGGAGTTATGACCCCCCTTTTGGGCAACATGTGTGTGTGTGTGTGTGGATCGCAACCGAACGCGGGAAACATTACAACCAATCTAAAACGGATTCCAACAATTTCGCTACCAATCCCAACCGACTGGTACAACTTACAACCGCTTGTCACTCTCCTGGAAATTTCTTCGAGGTTTCCTCGAGGTTCCTCAGGGGCTCCTTAAGGGCTTCCTTAAGGGCTCCTTGGAGTCCTCAAGTGCTACGGAGAAGCTCCTCAGAAGCTCCTGAGAGGCTCCTTGGAAGCTCTTTTAAAAAGGCTCCATGGAAGCTCCTTAGGGTGCTTACATGCTACTTTGAAGCTCCTCAAAGGCTCCTTGGAAGCTCCCCAAAGGCTCCATGGAAGCATCTTCGAGGCTCCTTAGAGGGTCCCTGAATGTTCCCGAGTTGCTACTTAAAAGCTCCTAAGAGGCTCCATGGAAGCTCCTCAGAGGACCCTTAGAATCTTCTGAGAAGCTCTTGTGAGGCTCCTTGAAAGCTCCTTCGAAGAACTTCAAGGACGTCCAAAGGATGTCTGGAGGATTTCTTGCAGATTCCTGGCGGGTTTCGGAAGGACTTCTGGAGGATTGCCTGAGGATTCCTGAAGGATTGCCGAAGGATTCCCAGGACAACGTGGGGACACCCGAAGAAGGCATGAACGATTCCTCAGGATTCCTCATGGTTCTCTAGGGTTCCTCAGGATTCCTGGGGGATTCCTGGAGGATCATTGACGCATTTCTGCGTGATTCCTTACGGATTCCTGCGGGTTCCTCTGGATTTTGAAGGATTCCTTAAGATTCCTTAGGTGTCCGTTGGATTCCTATGGGTTCCCAAGATTCCTCAAAAAAGCCGGGGGGGCCCTGAAAAACTCATGAAGGACTCCTCGAGGATTCCTGAGGGTTCCTTGGGTTTCTTTTGGGTACCTCTGGGACTCCTCCGGATTCCTGAAGGATTCCTGAGGATGCCTGAGGGTTTCTTGAGTTCCCTGACGTTTCCTCAAGGATTCTTGTGACTCTTCAGGGATTCCTCAGGCATCCGATGCCATCTTAAGTGCTCCTCGGGAATCTTGAGGGGCTCCGGATGATTCCAAAGAGTTCCTGACCGGTTCCTGAAGGATTTCTCAGGAGTCCTCAGGATCCTTGAAAGACTCCTCAGGGATTCCTGCCGAACTCCTCCTGCGTTTTCCTGAGGATTCCTTAGGTGTCCTGTGGGTTCCTGAGGACTCCGCTGGATTCCCGAAGGATTCTTGTGGAATTCCTACAAGGGTTCGGGGGACTGAACCCACGAGGGAGAGGGTGGCCGAGCGAGTCGCCCTGCCTCCCGCCGGCGCCGCCGAGTTGTTCGGCCCCCGCCTCCTGTCCCGCGGGCGAGGGATTCCCCAAGCCCACGAGGGCGACGCGTCCAAAGGAAGGGTTTCGTGCCCTCGGGGGTTCGGGGGCCCCCCGTACCCATGGGGAGGGGAGAGCGTGGCCGAACGAGTCGCCCTGCCCCCCGCCGCCGCCGCCGCCGAATCGTTGTTCAGCCCTGCTCGGCCCTGCTCGGCTAGAGGTTGTCGGGACCTATCCTGAACCATGCTCAGCTATCTTGAGCGAGTTCGAAGCTGTCTTGAGCCACGCTCGGCCTCCTGGGGCCAGCTTCGGGGTAGCAGGAACGCGTTTCTTTATGTTCGGCGATCACGGGCGTCATGGGGGGGGGGAAGGCGGGGGGGGGTATGACGTGACGCCGCCCCCCCGCCGTGTGGTTCCGGCACCATAGCCGCGCCCGCGCGCACGACGCGACGAGCGACGAGCGACGAGCGACGACGACGACGCGAGCAGCATGTAAGTGGCGATCTGCCCATTGCGCCTGTGTGCACCACAGCGCTCGCGTGCACCACGCTGCGCGTGTGCACCACGGCGCCTGCGTACACCGCAACAGCCGTGTGCAACGCACCGCCCGTGTATACCACAATACTTGGGAGCACTACAGCGCCTGTGTACATACACCGCAGCAGCCATGTGCAACACAACGCCTGTGTACACCACAGTGCTTGCGTGCACCGCAGCGCCTGTGCACGCCACAGCGCCTGTCTACACCACAGCATCCGCGTGCAACGCAGCGCTGGTGTACACCACAGTGCCTGCGTGCAGAGGACGGGTAGAATGAGCATGTACGTCAGGATCTGCTGCGGACAACTAAACGCCACGCCGAGAAAATTTTGATAATCGAATGCGATGTTTTTCCCTCCTCCATCCTCCTCCACCTCCCCCTCCACCTCCTCCTCCTCCTCCTCCTCCTCCTCCTCCTCCTCCTCTTCCTCATTCTTACCCCCTGTCGTGCGGCTTGGCGTTAATACGCACGCGCGCATCTCAGCGTGCACCGCAGAATGGTCGATTGAATCGGTCCACTTGGTTCTCGGACGGCCAGTTTAGCTGGAGCCACCTGGACGCAAATGGGAGTTAGGGTGATGCGGGCGGACTCGGGGGGACTCGTAGATTCCAGCGGCGCTCCTTTGTCCATGAGGATTTGTTTTCCATTGTTCTCTCTCGAATCCACACGCGCTCCATTTTGTCACAAGGATTCCTTCTGAAATTCTATACACAACAATGGTACTGTGTTGCACTCGGCCGATGTGGTGCACACAGGCGCCGTGGCGTGCACAGGCACTGCAATGCACGCAAGCATTGTGGTGTACACTGGGGTTGTGTTGCGCACGGCTGATGTGGTGTACGGAGGCGCTGTGGTGTACACAGGAGCTGCTGTGCCCGTCGGCAGGGTGGCACAAACTGACGCTGTGTTGCACGCGGCTGCAGTGGTGTACATCGGCGGCGTGGTGTACACAGGCGCTGTGGTGCACGCGGGCACTGTGATGTACACAGGCGTTGTGGTGCATATCGCCACCTACATGTTCGTGCTACCCGTCTTCCGTCATTCCTAAGCATTCCCAGACGCCGCCGGCGCGAAACGTGACGTCATCGACCTCCTCCCCCCCCAAATGATTGCCGTCATCGGCCCGGACTGAAAAACAGGCTCCAGCCGCGTCCGCGCGCACGACGACGATGAGCGACGAGCGACGAACCACGAGCGACGACGACGGACGACGACAACGACGACGACGACGACGACGACGCCTGCGGACCAGACACCTATGCGGATTCCTACGCGGACACCTATGCGGATCCCAATGCGCACGGCGGCAGCGCCCGGAGCGCACTGGGGGGGGGAGCGTTACGTCATAGGGGGGGGGGGAGCGGGGGCCATGACGCCCGTCATGCCCCAAGCAATAAAGAAACGGGCTCCAAGAAACGGAGGAGGAGGCACAGCGTTCCCCAGGAGGAGGAGGAGGAGGAGGAGGAGGAGGAAAGGAGCAGGAGGAAGATGAGGAGGAAGAGGAGGAGGAGGAAGAGGAGAAGGGGGAGGAGGAGGAGGAGAAGGAGGAGGAGGAGGAGAAAAGAGGCAGGAAAAGAGGAGGAACGGAACGGACAAGGACAACGAGGATGCCAAGTCTGGTTTTCGATATGTGTTGTTGTGAAAGGTGTGTGGGCATGTGTTGCGAACATCTACTGTTGTGTCGGATACATGTCGTTACTTTGAGGTGACATGTGTTGTTGCGAGTTGCTGTCGCAAAACATCACGGCTCCCAGATCCCAGAAAGTAAACTGGTACCAATTCCAACCAGGGCATCCATGTGGACTCCCATAATAACTTTATACACTTAAGACGTTAATTTGATGCCTGGATCGTCGTAAACGGCTGTGCGCAAGGAATCACATTGTAGGCCCGAGATGGCTGGTTGCGATTGGTGCCAGTTGGTTGTTGGCCGGTTGAGAAGTGGCCAGGTCGGTTGTAATTGGAATCCGTCGGTTGGGATTGGTCCGACATGCCGTCGTGAGCCCCCCTCCTCCCGACTTCCTCCCAGCGTACTCAGAAGACGCTCTCTCGAATGTCTGGGCATTCGTGTGGGCATCCTGTAAATTTGAGCGCCTGGGAGGTCCCGACCAGCTGAGCGCGAACGAGCACGCGCCAGACCCCATGGCGGCTCCCCATTTGGAGGCTCACGTGCCATGCCTGCTACGTGGCAGTGACCATATGGCTCTGCAGCGAATCTCGTCTACCGGGCCAAAACGTGGCGTCGCGTTAGACAAGCCCATGAAACGTTTTTGTGGTCGAATCCACCCAGGGTGGCTCAAAGGCAATGCCTGCTACATCGCGGCGACCTTGGGGATTTCAAGGGAGACACGTCGATCCCGCCAACATGGCAGACGATTATAAGAGGTCCCAACAATCTGGGCGCGAAGGGGCCAGTGATACAAACACGCCTGGTCGGCACCCCCATTGGGTGGCTCAGATACAAGTCCTGTTGCATCGCCACGATCTCAGGACTCTCGAAGGAGACACGCCTATCCCACAAAAACGGCCATTCTAGCAGAGAGGTCCCGACAAACTAGAAGCGACCAGGCTCGTGACCAGCCCTGGCCGACAAACCCTTGGGTGACTTGAATGCCATACGTCGCGATGATTTGGGGTGCTCACAGGAGGCGCATCTACAAATTAGTACATGTTATACAGCGTGGACACCAAGCTGCCATGTTCTGCAAGACATGCGGTGCAATCTGGGTGGTGCGATCCATGAGGTGCGATGTATGTGGTGCAAAGCAATGCAGGGCAATGGAAAGCAACGCGACGCAATGCAAAGCAATGCGAAACAATGCAACGCAATGCAAAGCTATGCAAGGCAATGCAGGGCAATGCAACCCCATGCGCCGCACTGCAACGCAACGCACAGCAGTGCAGAGCAGTGCGCAGAGGTGCGAAGCACTGCACATCCGTGCAGAGCGGCGCAAGACCCTGCAGAGCCATGCAAACGCCACGCGTGCCAAATGCAGAGCGATGCGACCGCGATGCAACGAGATGCAAGCAAGTGCAAAGCGATGCAGCGCAGTGCAAAGCCGCGCGACACACAACGCACAGCAGCGCGGCTGCGGGCGGCGCCGCGCCGGCCGGGCCGCCGCTGGGGCCCGGCGCCGACGGCGGCGACCGGCGGCGGCGCGCCGGCCGGACCGACAGCAGGGCCCCGTTGCCTTCGAACACAAGCGAGACGCCCTAAGTGCAAGCACTGTGTGGGGGAGTGTATATATATATATATATATATGTATGTATATATACACATACACATACACATGTCCGGCGCTATGCGGTGCCAGCACCAGCGACGGACGGCAAGCTACGTAGTGCTGTGCGTTGCTCCTACGTGGTGTAAGCGATGTGGTGCAAGCAGCGGCGACGGACGGCCGCCACGGCGGCGCCGGCGACAACAAGCGCAGCGACCGACAGCCAAGCGCAGAAGCAGCGGCGGCGACGGCGGCGACGGCGGGCGGTGACGGCGACAACACGTGCGGCGACGAACAGCTAAGCGCAGAAGCAACGGCGACGGACAGCGGCGACGGCGCCAACAAGCCGGCCAGACCGTCAGCCAGGCCCAGTACCTTAGAAACGAATGAGAAACCCTGTAAGTACAAACATTGTTTGGGTAAAAAACCGACAATCAGGGCGCGAACGAACCCGTGATACACCCCTGGTAGTCGCCCCCTTTTAGGCTGAAGTGTCATGCTTGCTAGACCTGATATTGGGGCTCTCAACGGAGACAAGTCTGGCCCGCCAAAGCGGCCATTCTATCTGAGAGGTCCCGACAATCTCGGCGCGAACGGACACGTGATACACACCTCGCAGGCACCTCCTTGAAAGGCCCAGATGCAATGCCTGCTGCGAGTTTGAATGAGAATCCGAGTTTGAGCGGGTGTGAATTCAAATGGACCTGAATGAAATATGGACCATGGAGTGGACTCGACTGGGAGCGAGGTTGGGTGCGAATGAGTCTGAGTCTGAGTGAGCCTGGGTATGAGTGCGTCTGAGAACCAGAAAGTCCGATTATGAATTAATCTAAAGATGAGCAGGGTCTGGCCACGAGGGTCTGCGCCTGCGTTAGTCTGAGTATGCTTGTCTGAATATGGTTACTATGATCCTGAGTGAGTCTGAGTACGATCTGGGACCGAGTGCGTCTTTGTTTGAGTGAAATCTGAGTGTGCGTCTGGGTACGAGCGAGTCTGTGCAGAGGGCGAGACGCGGCGGGAAGGTCGAAGGAGGAGGAAGGAAGCGGAGGCATCGTACTGATAGCTCTAAACCCACACTTGGGATATGGGGGTGGGTCAGGATGTGAGTGAACCTAAGCATGGATGAAACTACATGCTATTGACGCGGACCGCTGCAAGGCGCTTGAAGCCGTTGAAACAGCAATCGCCATATCTCTAGGACATGAGCAAGCGTAAGGTTCGCAGCTCGAGAGCCCAAAGAGCTCCCAAAGAGGCTCAACACCATCCCAAGGATGTGTTCGGGCAGAAGTTCCCAAGATGGCCTCCACGACGGCTCCGAGTCGACCAACGTCAGCTCTATGATAACCTGGCAACCTCTCCACGAAGTCCCCGAACGAACAAAAACATGCAAAGCCCATCGTCACGAGTTCTCCCCTGCAGGGAGTCGGCGGACTGGCGTGAGCTTCTTGGATAACCCCAGCCAGACCCGCTGCCAATATTGCATTTGAACCTGAAGCCCCAGCACGTGCGATACTCTGCACCGTCAGAGCTCTCGACCTCCACGGACTCGACCGCTCCCTTTGAATTGTCCGCGTAGCGTATCTCCGCGGAGAAAGACGGCGAAGTGCCGCGCACCGCGCGCCTCACCAGCCTCCGCTGCCGCCACGTCCAGAGCTGCCCCGTGGCCTCGCGCTCCAGGAAGGCGGAGGCCAACACCATCACCAGCACCTCCAGCAGGCACGGGACGTACGCAGCGTCGAACAGCCTCGCGGCCAGCGAGCGCTGCGACGAGCCCCGCAGCATGGCCTCGGTGATGCTGTCCGGCGACCACTCGAAGCCCACGGCCAGGTTCAGGATGCAGGGCGAGGCGGCGCGCGCCAGATTGCCCAGGACGCTCTCGGCGCAGATGAACGTAGCAAAGCGCCACCGGGTGCCGGCTGTCGAGGCCACGGCGGCACCGCAGGCGAACGCCGCAATGGCGTCGAGCGCGTAGCACCAGACGATCGCTCCGTCGACGTACGTCAGCAGCGCCTCCGCGCCGTTCGCCTCCATGAGCAGGAACGCCTGCAAGACCACGCTCGGGAGGCTGAAGCAGGCAAACGCCCGCACCAGAATGATGGCCGACGTGGGCAAGCCCATGGCGAAGATCCCGCAACCAATGATACATACAAACTGAACGGCGGTCAGCACGCCGTACAGATACCAAGGGTACGGGCTCAGCGCTCTGACCTGAAGGACGCCCACTTGAATCGCATAAACGAACTGAACCATCATCTGGCCAACGAACAATAAGGGCAAAAACTTCTGCCTGACGACCCACCGGAAATCAAATACGGGTAGCCGAAACTCGTGGTACGGGATCGGGGCATGCAGCAGCACGAACATCGGCGCAAACACAAAGACGAGTAGCAAGGGCACGGCGAGATCCTCCATAAGAGCGAGACGACGACTTAGACTTACGCATGAACTTTTGGAGGTCCGCGCGGACCTCTTGGATCGTCGCTGACCCCAACTGGCGCGCCTCCAGCGCCTGTCCTGGCGCGCTTCGCAAGCCAGGGGAGGGAGTTCCGGCGCCAACCCAACAAGCCCTCGCGGACTTCCGACAGCTAACGTCAGTGCAGCTTTTTGTTACTCTTTGTTCCTTAGATCCTTGAAGAGTTCCCTCATATGCTTCTCCTCTGCTATCGTGGACCCGAGGGATTCAGCGGCCTTCCTGAGCGCCATGAGCAGACCCGTGCGGACTGACAGCTTGGCCACGTCTCCGACTGCGCTGCCCATGAAATTGAAGTACGCGAAAGGTGGGTCTGCGCTGGCCACAAAGCCAAGAATGGCGGCGACGACCCACACGGGCAGCTCCATCATGCCGGGGATGATGGCCAACAGCCTCACGCCTGCGGAGGGTTCCAAAGGGGGTTTTTGGGGAGGGGGTTTTCCAGGAGGGGTCCCCCAGGGGCTTCGCACCCTCTGTTTTGACGAGGTTCTGATGCCCCCAGGGGGCTCTCTGGAAAAAAGACCTCCCCCAAAAACCTGTTTGGAACCCTCTGGCGCCCAAGCCGACGATCATGAGCTTGTTCGGCTTCACGACCCGGGACGCGAACGCCCACAAGCCGCCGACTCGCCCTGGCTGCCCCCCCGGGCCGGTGCTTCTCCTCTTCCTGGGGGTCCCAGGTCCCGTTTGAGGGTGCGAGGGGAGACGACGAGCCCTCAGGAGGGAGGAGAGGGGAGGGAGGAGAGTGGAGGGAGGAGACAAGCTAGGTGCGCTCGCGTCATATCTGACATCCTACCCCTCCCTCCCATCCCTTACCATGGCGTAGATCCCCTCTCTACTCGCACAGTCGGATGTCGAGCAGGGCAATGATCCCGAAAGGGTACGCGATGCATTGTAGAGCACGGCATGGCATGGCGTAGAAGAGCACCGCAAAGCGTAGTATCAACCTAGCATTGCATTGCATGCCGTGGCATGGCACGGGAAATGACGCCAGCGCTGCAGCGGGAGCACGAGTCGAAACGAGCGGAAGCGCGGAAATGAGGCCAGCGCTGCAGCGGGAGCACGATTCGGAACGAGCGGAAGCACGGAAATGAGGCCAGCGCTGCAGCGGGAGCACGATTCGGAACGAGCGGGGCCCGAAAATGAGGCCGGCGCCTCAGCGAGGGCAGCATTTTGGAAAAATGCAGGCGAAAATCCAACTCCGGGGAATCCTGTGTAAAAAAACCATACGCGGGGGGGGGGCTAACACTTTCAAGCCGTCATCAGGGGAAGAGGGAGAGTAGTATTCATATTGAGTAATTGTAGAGGCAAAGGGGGGGGACGTCGATCTGGAACCGGCGATGCCTCCACGACGGGTCGGCGAGGGGCCCACGATGGCGGAAGCGCACGCTCCTGGGCGGGGTGGGGTCCCGTCAGAGCACCCCTGCGGCCCTCAAGGCCCCTAAAAACACCGACCGTGCTCCCGATACCCTGCAGAGCCCTCCGAACAGTTCCTCTGGGGCCCGCGCTCGTTTTGGCATCCCGCAGGACGGTGTGTTGGCTGTCTTTTTGGCATCCCCCCATCGTGGAGCCGTATCTGGCCCATTCAGCCAGAACTAGGATGGGCGGGCGGTGGACGCGAAGCGCCTTGGATAGAATGAAGGAGGCTTCGAAAACGGACTGCATCCCGCTCGCCCGCTCGCTGGTGTTTGCATATCCGCCCAAACTGCTGGCAGAAAAAGAAACAACTGCATACAAGCAAACTGTCGGAGCTCCGCGGGGACTCTTCGATCGGCGCTGGACCCCCCTCCCTGGCGCGCGGAGCGCGCCTGGCGCGGGCCCGGAGGCGCCGCCAGGGGGGCCCGGCGGCGACTCAAGAAATCCGACCGGAGCTACGAACGTTGAGGCTGATGCAGAGCTTTTCTCCTTCGAGCTGAGCACCACGGAGACGACGGGCCCGCTGGTGTAGACCGCGGCCAGCACCCAGTCTATGAGGATCGCGCCGCCCGTTGGCCTCCCGAGGCGCACGGCCCACTTGTCGGTCTCCTTGGCCATCTGCAGGCCCCACTCGACCTCCTCCAGCAGCGCTGGCGCGCTGGAGACCAGGCCCTGGTGCGCCGCCAGAGGATGTCCATGTCCACTCGGAGGAGGAAGAGGTATCCATACTGCTAGCCTTCTCTCGTTTTTTCCGTTTTCGGCCTCCTGGGAGGCCCTCGTCGGAACCGCTGGAGTCGCTTCGAAATTTTGGTCAGAACGCACTGCCGGAAAGGTCCGGGGAGTAGCGGTATGGGTACCTTTTTGTTCCCCCATCCACTGCCTCGGGGTCGTGTCGTGGCGAATCGGGGAGCGGTGGCTATGGATATCTGCCCGCAGTTGCGGTCGGGCAGATATCCATATCCACCACTCTTTGAGATCCGAGGGCAAGACTCCGAAGCGGTGGATGTGGATAGATTCTGGCGGTGGACCTGGTTCAGCCGAGACTCGACGCGGAGTTGCACCTCCTGCTCCGACGACTCCTGGACGAGAAACTCCTCCGCAGGGCGCTTCTGCGACTGCTCTGGCAGGGGCAGCAGGGTGGCCAAGGACCGAGGGAACCGCCCCCGCCGATCCCGTCGGCTCTCTGCAGCACCAGCATCGCTCGCATTGGCGATCTTGCCAGACTGGACAGAGTGCCTCAGGGCCGACGAATACAAATGCAGCAACTCGTCCTGCCACTCTGCGACGGGAAACGTGGAACGACGACATGCCCGGGACATCTGGTCGAATGTCTGGTCGTCACACTCCATGGCCATGGAAATCGCGGACCTCAGCCCAGCCTGCATGTGTGCGGCGGAGTCTGCGTTGAAGATCTGGAAATAGAAGCCTGGCAACTTGCCCAAGCCTCCTCGCAGAGCGCCCACAATCACAGCCCCGTACCAGCCGAATTCGATATCCACGTAGCCGAATGGCTCGTCACGGCTGGGCATGATACAGTAGTCGCACGCGAACTTGAGCTCCTTGCCGACCATCATGAAACCTGGGTACACAAATAGCTGCTTGTGAAAGCCTTCGTCTCTCAGCTGTGTCAGCTTGGCGCGCGCATAGCTGCCATAGGCATCACCGACGGGGCCAATGATCACGAACTGCGCGCGGCTATATTTCTTCAGCACCCAGGGCAGGACGTCAGCGATATAGTCGAGGCCCTTCTGCTTCACCCATCGCCCAAGGAAGACGAAAATGCGAGCGCTGGGATCCTGGTCGAGACCGTACTCCTGCTGTACCTGCTGCTTGCACGCCCTCCGTGTCTCGAACACCTCCGCGTCGTTCTCGAGCCCTGGGGGCCTCTCTCCCTCGGGCATGCAGTTCTCGATCCCGACCAGCAGCGGCAGGCCCCAGAAAACAGCATGCTTCTGGATCGCCTCGAGCGCGTAGTTCTTTGACACCCCGCAGATGCCAAAACCTCGCTGGTGCTTCTTCACGTACTCTACCACCGGCTTCAGCATATTGAAGCCCCCCTCTGAGAGCGTCTCAGACCGAATCTTCTCCTCTGGCAAACAGAATATTTGACTAAACTCTTTGATTTCTCTGTGGCGCATCTGCTGGGTCGAGATGATGCCCTGATACTCGGCATTATGCAACACGACCACCACTGGCACCGGCTCCTCCAAATACATCACGGCCATCGCTGTATGGAAATCGGGGCAGTGGAACAGCGTCGCACGAGTCCGCTTTATCAATACTGCAACGGCCTGGCTCCAAAGCGCCCAAAACCTCAACGTACTGCGTGCCGTCTGTGGGCATGGATATATGTTGCTTTTGTCCCGGTTGAACTGAAAGATCGGGTGATCAAGCAAGTAATCCACCGAACCTCGCCTGCCAGGGGTGACAAGGCGTGTGAGGTGTCTGGCTGTCCCTCTCCCTCCAGAGCCCCCAGAGGCCCAAGTCCTGTTTGCGGGGGCGGGGGCGGGGGGAGAGGTGCCCGACGAGAGCCTCGACGCATTCTGGATGTAGACAACGCGTTCCATGTGTTCCACTGAGCCCCATGGTCCCGCAGATTGTTCAAGCTGCCCCAAAGAAGGCCGACAAATGGCCAACACAATCTCCTGGATTGACCCAAGAGGCTCTAGTACAACGCACATGTGGCCGTAAGCAACCACCATTGGCTTGAATATGGCCTCGCAGAAGGCTTCCAAATAACCCCACATCGTCACCTAGTTTAGGCAAATATGTGCTGTTTACGGTTCCGCAGAAATCCGTACCCAAACGGGCTCCACAGGCCTTCGAGACGGTCGAAGAGGCCCCCAGGCAACCTCAAGATGGGCCAACATGTCCTCAAGATGGCCTCAGAGGCTCCGAGCTGGCCTCCCAGACGACTTTGAGACGAACCTACGGCGGCCTTAAGCCAATCTCAGGACTACGGTGGGGGCATTGGATAAGGAACCCTTAGATAAAGAATACAGGGTCTGGAGGCGGGTGGAACTCCAATCGAAGATTGGCCATGGATACCACCGCCGCCCTCATCAGATAAGGACTCCTCCAGTGCTTGCAGCATCCTGGGCGCATTCCTTAACCAACGCTCCTACCGTATTCCCTAGAGAAGTGATTTGACGGTCTTAAGACACACACACACACACATCAGGGCGGCCCAGAAACCTGCCAAGGGATCCGCTGGCCCCCCTTGCGGGGTCACCAGGCAGCGCGGCTCAGGCTTTCCTGCGCCCTGCGCTGCAGTGGAGGCCCGACCATAAGAAGCCTTCCAGAAGAAACGCAACCTTGAGACCACAGGACGTCCATCGATTTTTGGTGTGGGAACGCCACGCCTTCCATCGCAAAACCATCGAAACCCAAGAAACCCAGGGCACCCTGGAGGCAAGCAGGGTGGTTCTTGGCACGGGTCTCCACTGTGGTTCCAGTTCCCAGGTTCCTATGTTATGGTGCT